TGCTTAGTACGGTGGTAGGCTGACATATATAGCGATGTATCTCAGTATCTTAATATTAATCATGTAACCTCAATTTCAATTACTCTATTAATAAAGATCACGAGAAATGCCTCACTTAACATTAAAAAAAAAATCACCATCATTATATATCGTCAATATTTTTATATATAACTACATTCTTATAGTCCTTCGTACAGGTTAATCAATATTCTTATATATAGCTACATTCTTATAGCCCTTCGTACAGGTTAACTATAAAAGGGCAAAGATTAGTTTGTTGGCTAGAAAATCGTAATTTAATTAATAAATATTTTAAAAATTTTATCTTAATCTTAAATATATACAGTTATTACATATTTGCTTACTTACAAAATTAGACTCGGATTCTTCGCCATTCAAATGCATGTAGGAAGGTTGGCCAAATGCGCAGTTCCATCGAAGGTAACATTTCTAGAACCACAACCCACAATAAAAAAATAAAACTTGATAGAGCACCTTAGCAAGGGATCGGAGTTTAATAATATAAGTGTATAGTAAATGGAATATCCTTTGAAACATTGTGCTATAATAATCAGCGTTCGCAAAAAAAAAAAACTAAAATTAGGTCCGATTCACTTCTTATAATATATAATTAAATAACTTACCAATAAAATTTTTGTACACCCGTGATTTCTATGCTAGCACATGATCGAAATAATCGACCGCGACAAAAACATTATGTTTCTTAATAATAATAAAGAAAATAAGATATCTGACGGAGAAGAAGCACTTAGAACATATGATCGTAATAGGAAACGGCAGAGGAAGGCTAAAGAGACACAAGACGAACGTGAGGCTCGACTTTCTCACAGGCGTAACCTATATCATCAAAATAAAGTAGGAAAAACCGTTAAGCAACAAATCGAATTAGAGGAAACATCAAATATATGTGAGAGACAAACCGCGAGTACTCAAAATGTATTAGATAGACATGAGGATGGTGTCCTAGAAAATATTCTTCCATTATCCGATCGAAAGTTTTTATACAAATTTCGAAATACAATTAATAAACTTAAAAGTGATCAATGTAATACCTGCAATGAGAAATTTCCTTCTATCGATCTATTCGGAGAAGAATGCCAGTGTCATCGTTGTTATAATGAAAAAACCAATCCCAAAAAATTTTCTGCAGAAAATAATATGGATCCAGGTATGAGTATTCAAATAGCAATCTGTTTAAAGCATAACGAATAGACTTACCATTTTCTCCTATAGGTGAGGTCCCACAAGAGCTTATGGGGTTAACTAATATTGAGGAAATGCTGATCGCGCAAGTATTTCCCATTATCTCAGTATACAACTTATGTGGAGGGCAATATGCATATCATGAAAATGTTATTAATTTTCCGCAAGACTTGAAAGAATTCGTAACCTGTCTCCCACGAAACCCAGCATCATTAGACATGCTTGTTGTTAGGCGCTGTTCAATTAACGGATCCGCTTTTCATGAATTTAATGTCCGAAGAGGAAAAATAGCTCGAGCCCTTCAGTGGTTAAAGGTAAATAACATATATTATCGTGATATTAATATTGCTGATGATATCTTACAATCCTTACCTGAGAATGGTTCGATTGCCGAGCAACTTCCGCAGCTTCTAGAAAATGATAATGAAAATCAAAATGAACAAAATGCAGATCGAAATGAAAATAACAATGAATTAAATGAAAGTGAGTTCATTTCGCAAACCTTTATTTCATCCCTGTTACCTGGGCAAAGCGAAGATAGTGCAATCACCGATACTCTTAATCGGATGCGGCAGCACGAGAATCTTTGGATTAATTGGCCGCATATTGAAGGCCAGCCTATTGATGAGTTCCATACTGCCGGATATATAGTAAGAGCATTTCCTACACTTTTCCCCAGAGGTACTGCAGACCTTTACAGTCATCGAATAAAAGAAGTAAAACTGGCAAAATACTTTAAACATTTGATACTTTATAAAGATGGGCGATTTGCTCGCCATCCGCGATGGCGTTATTTTGCACTAAATTCGCTAATGAGATGGAGAGCATTATCAGAAAGCCATGTATACGTTAAACAGAATTTGGAGGAAGGGCAACTTACTGTAAACGAGATCCTTAATTTAATGCAAAATGACACTCATGTGGCAGACCGAGTGGTACGGTATGGCGAAGGCTTACGTGGTACCCGTCAATATTGGATGCGCCGCAGAGCTGAACTATTAGACATGATAAGGCAGTTAGGGTCTCAAGGGATGATATTTTTCACGTTTAGCGTGGCTGATATGCACTGGCCTGATTTACATCGCCTTATGCCTAATGAAGAGAATCCCATAAAAGAAACAGAACAGGAAGCTGCTAAGCGTTGGCGTAAAGATCTTATTAATAATCCACATATTGCAGCATGGTTTTTTGAAAAGCGATTTAAAGTTTTCTTTGAGAAGGTCCTCATACCAAAATGG